GTATCAGAGGCACACTCTGATGTCCTCACATTAAGTTGTAATCCAACGACACTTTCATCTTGAACAAGCTGCTTGGCCTCTAGATTGGAACTGGGCCTGGTAAAATGTGATACTCATTGAGTACCAGGGATGATAGAAGCATGGGTAAGCATGGGTGCCAGGAGCCCCCTTGTGGCTAAAGAGAAAAGTAACCAAATGCAATTTGAAATCTGGAATAAATAGGAACATCCTGAATTTGCTTGCTGTGAATATATTAGTATTTTTCTTGCCATTGATTATTTTAAAAAATTTAAGAATTCTGTTAAGTATTAGAGACAGAAAGGTAAACGCGACGCAGTCCAAGCCATAGAGGCATTAAGAGGCTAAAAATGGGTAAAATTCAACCATTTTTAGTGACATTGGTCCTGGGAACCAAATTTGAATCTTCAGAAGTATGCACCTGAAACAGAACTACTCCCCAGCCCAGGGACAACAGTTTTGTGTGCATTTCACAGTAGGTAATGCTATCTAGAAACTCCCTCACACAAGTGTAGTAAAATGCACTAACCACACGATTTCTAAAGTTCTCGGTAAAGTAAATGCACAGCCTCTCACTACCCTATCAGTATTTAAGTCTTCATTAATTCCAGCCAGAACATTATATGATTTACTATCCACACAGAGAAACTAGCCAACAGTCATTCTTATCTGTTAATCCGGTATCATAATGATCTGATTTTACTTAATGGTTTTCTTGGTAGGTTCAATTTCTACCCCAAGGTTTCTAGTAGAAAATATGTAGGATTTTATGAAGTCCAACACAAGCTAGGTTTCTGCGAGGATCAGACACGTGTTGGTGCGTGTGACAGAGAGAGAGAGAGACAGAGAGGAGGGGGGAGGGGGGGAGGGGAGGGAGAGAGAGAGAGAGAGAGAGAGAGCAAAGGTTGATTCCAACAGCAGCCATTGAGCAGCTGTCACAGTTCTATCAAGTTATGTAAAGTCCTGTATCCAATTACCAACCCCTGGCATCCAACAGCCCCTGGCTTGGCACTGCTTAACCAACTGATACACTTGTAATGCACAAAGTGATGGTATAAATAATTGAGTTGGGTCTTCTTTTACCCTATAAAAGAGGATACGGTTATGCTGACTATACTAATCCAGTGCAAGCATGGAACCAAATTTGAATCATGACATTTCTAACCCTGAGTGGCAAAGGGTGAAAGGGTTTCAATGCGTTCCTAACTTTACATAAATCAAAGAGAGCCACAGTGTTCACAAAGTTGATTTATTTACAAATACCAGTGATGCTAGAGTCCATCTACAAGACATTTATAAGATGCCAAAGGAAAAAAGTGGTAGGGGAGTCTTAGCATTATTTTAAATCTAGACTTCATTATGGGCCCCGGCGGTGGCACACACCTGTAATCCCAGCACTTGGGAGGTAGAGGTAGGAGGGTCAGGTGTTCAAGGCTTACCTAGGCTACAGAGCAAGTACAGGGAAAGCCTGGATTACATGTGACCCTGTCTCAAAACAAATGGCAAAACCTGAAAATAACATAAAAAACACAACACACCTTCAAAAACCAAAGCTATGCTCTTAACTTAAATTTCTACAAAGTAGTTTCAATTCGGCGATTTTTTCCCATTAAGGTTTTTCCCAAAAAAACCTTGGTCATTTTTAATCTTTTGGGATATTAAAACAGTATCTCTATGAGCCCTTTCCATTGGTTTCTATGTACAGAATTATGAAGAACTACCCCTTATTTCTAATATTTTCTGTGTACCATGTAAGACTATTTCCTTGCCGAAAACTGGTGACAAAAATGAACATCCCTATCAATATTTTAGAACATTATGAAACTGAAACGAAACATCACGTTGGGTAAGATTTTGTGTTTGTACATACATCAAGACCCAAATACACATTTTACAGAGTTATGGAAGTAACTCAATGAGATTTGAATTCATGACATTGCGGACCATGAACCCAAAATTGGGAAGCCTTTCCTCAATTATACCCCGCTTATTAGGACTAGCTCATGCTCCCGTAGTGCGCACTGAATTCATCCCTTCCCTTACCCAGGCCTTCAGAAATGAGCATCACACCAGGAAGACATGTTTCCTCCCGTCCAGATGGACCATGTCTCTCAGCCCTGCTCTCAGGATTCATGTTCAAGGCCCGTCTGGGCTACATGGGTTTGAGGCTATCTGGCCTATACAGGGAGGGACAACCTCCCTCAAAAATCCAAAGAGAAATGAGCGATAAGGAATTGAAATCATAGGGCTTTCAGAACACTTCAAAGCTCAAGCTCAACTCTCAGCTCGGAAGGGAAAGGAGTCATGAGATGACTTAAAGGGCTTCCTAGGTTGGTGGGTTTTGAAAAGTCCTATGGGATGGAACAACTTAGTATGTTGGGAATGCTACAGATTGGACAGGTAAGTACATACTAGATTTAGAAAGGCCTACCTAGTATGCGGAGTTTGGACTTCATCCAGTACTGAAACATTTCAAGTAGGGAATAGAGATCAGATTGGAATTTTGTAAGGCCACATAGGCAGTGCCAGTGAAGGAGCGATAACTGAGGCACACAAGGGTCACTTCAGTCACTCGGGTTCAGAGGGCTATAAAGGAGAGTCCAAGTTTACAGCGACATCTCACAGTGCTCCTCATTCAGCAGCAGTAACGCAAACTCGGGGTGTGGCAGAAATAACCCTATCTCTTACCTTCAGAAATAGCATTAACAATCAACTTGAGCAATCTGTATGAGATCCCATGAATAAGGAACACGAGCGTAGGCGGGAACGCCACTACATAAAGTCTCGTCATTTGAAGGTGTTCGTGTAACGTCCTAGGAAACGGACTCACTGATGGGTATATGGGTATTGAGGCTAGAATTAAGTCTGGCTTTGAGGAACTTCAGCATTTAGCAATCTGTTGGAAATTGAAGCCATTGTCAGATCCATTTCCTGGGTTTCAAGCCAGGGTAAATATATTAAGGAGAGGACTCAGTAGAAAGTCCTACAAAACATTACTTAAAAGTTACATAAAGCAATAAGTTCTCCACAAAACCCTTAACCAAAGAAAAAACAAAAACAAAAAACCCAAACCCAAACGCCTCAAACAAACAAAAACAACCCAAAAAGATTTCCAATAGTAGGAAGAGTAGAAGGATGGTTGACATCATCACTCTGTGTCAAAGGTCACATTAACAGACAAGAGTCCATTAGATCTAGCAAGATCCTGAGGGAGCAGGAAAGCTAACGGGTAGAGATTATTTTCCATTCAAGTTCTTTCTTGACCTCAGTCTATCAGGATGAAATTTAGAGATTCTGCCTTCAGAATTCAGATGAGTAGAGAAAGTGGTGTGCAGCCAGCTTGCAAATGTTGTCTTCCACTAGATGGTAAGTTCTTTGAAGCATAAGGAAGGCACATACAGATAAGTAAGACCCAGTCCTAATTCAGATTTTGTAACAAGTAAGAAATAAGATGGGGCACAGCAGGTATCAACTATGAGAATTCAAAAGAGGAACATACTATCTGCAGACAACCCAGAAAGCCTTCTCAGCTGTTAGCACAGAGAATCACACACATATAAATACTGGATTATAGAAAGTAATTGCTGGCATTTTTCTCTCAACATATCTAGTCAATCAGTAATAAACAGAATCTCATTTGTTCCAAAATAAAAAAAAAATTGAAACTCATTCATGAGATATTTATTAAAATAACACATTTAGGGAAAAAAATCAATACAATGTATACATCATTACTGAAAACTGTATACCATCATACAAAAAAGGACTTTATTTTGGGAAATCAATTTCTAATTTATGGCAAGTTTTACTTTCAGAAATAAATCCACAGAACAACACATTCTAGTTCTCCCTTAAAGACTGGCGTGCTGAGCAAGGAATGTTCTTATTCTTTGTAGGAGTTCCTTCTTTACACTGTCAGGTACCAGGGCTGAAACATAAAAACCAAACATCAAAGTCAGAGGACTCCAGTGATCACACATCAATCTGATGTTTTATTACAGGTTACCAATTCAGGGATTTCACACAACTCTCATACTAATATACAAGTCCATTTGAAAATACACAGGCCCATCTGACTTAAACAAGACTGACGCCAAGCAAGTCACTTTGGTACAGTCTGACTGTAGAGCCATCAGAAGAGCTGGAGGGAAGTTTTATTTGGGGAGGGAGAATGGAACTGTTTATAACCTTCTTGAGGTGGTGGCTAAAGGAATTACCCATGTGCACAAAATACATGCAACTTTTCTTTAAACAGAGGCCATAAATATGAAGAAGTTGGAGAGGGTTGGGAAGGTAAAGAGGGAAAAAAGGGAAAGAAAAAATTTTATAATTATAATCTCAAAAAAAAAAAAAAAAAAGTCAATCTTGCTAGATACCAATAGAAAAGCTGTAAGATCTGAACATATCCAAGATGGAAATGCTGAAGGAGAGACAGAGGACAATTTCTTACTTAAATAAACAATGTTAAGCAATGTTAACAGATTAAAAAAAAAAAGAAAAAAAGAAACAGGAGTCAGAGAAACTAGCCTAAAGTATAAACTCAAAATGAACAAATATTTTTCCTGAGCCATACTTGGAAAAACAAACAAACAAACAAACAAACAACCCTAAATGTTTTCCAGTTGTAAATAAACTTTAAGAAAACAGACCATGGGTTTTTTAGTTCCTTCTCAATAGGGAATTTATATTCTGTAGTCATTTTCAGACATTTATTTTACAAGCAAGTGATTTTGCCTGTGGCTATGTGTAAAGACATCCTATAACTCAGCTAATTTAGATGCTTTCACTTCTAAGTCTTAAATATGTATCACCCTGAATTACCAAATTCTTAATTAGACATTCAAGAAGACAGACTTTCATTTATTTTTAATAAGGAGAGAGATAGTAGGCCAATGACTCAGGACTGGAGTAAAACTTTGAATTATTAAATATTTAAGTGGAATCAGGCCATATCTAATAAAGTTTTTAAATCCAAGCTTCAGGTGACATTTCCCTGTATAAAATCTCATGTCAAAATGATCTGCCCTACCAACCATCAACCTAATACTGCATACAGTGTTTGTGTCAACTTATTGCGATTCCTCTAGCTGACTGTAGCAGTCAGCTAGGCAACTGTCCTTTTAAAACTCGTCCCACAGGAAGAACAACTCCATGACTTTGGCAAGTATGTTTTCCTACAGAAAGCCTCTATTTCCCCTGACACAATTTGTGCTTCTTACCTCTGCCTTTTGGAGTGATTTCAGCCACCAAGTCATCAACAGTAACGTGTTCTAGTCCTTTTTCTTTAATTACCTCTTATGCAAAAGCAAAAAACAAATCATATCATTTAAAATCATTATCTGTAAGAAAGATTTTCATAGAGGAAGGGTTAAAATCATGTTTTTAGAGTATAGATTGGTCTTTAAATAAAAAGAGGACACTTCTTTTTTAATGACAACTTAAAACCTCAAAAATATATTACTCTCCAGATTACAGACAGTTGCTTTGTCCTTCCACTAAAAAACTTAAGCAAACAAATAGTTGGAATACTTAGAATAAATCAGAACTGTGTAGTGTCAAATCTAGCTTTTGTAAAAAAGCTAGAAATTTGTAACTGAACAGATTTTACTATAATTATATTAAGTTTAAAGACATCAAAGAAATAAAATTTATTGGAGCCTGCTTTCTAACTTTATAGGCAAGAATTAAGGTGTAGAGGTAGTTTGCGCTTTTTCTCTTCTCTAACCTGGACCAAAGGGAATGAAGGGGGAATACCCATTTCCACATTTGCTGGAATTCTGTTAGCTGGCTTACAACTGGCAACATTCACGACTCCTACGTTGAAGCCAGAAACTGAAGTGGCAAGACTGTTCATTTGGACATGGCAGAAAACGAGCTCCAGTCTCGAAGGTTTGCATGACTCAGCGCCCTCTTTTACTAACTTGTCAAAATGCTTTTTCATAGTTAATAAGGATATAATCCATTATTTTTCTACTTGTAGAAAATGTGGTAAAGATAACTCATTAAAAATACCTAAAATTTCACCATACCAAAAATTGAGCCAGAAAAGGGTTCATTTTAAAAGCACGTGTAATATCAACAATAGCTATCCAAAACATTAAAAAAAACCCTAGTATTCTCTACAGTACGCTTGCTTAATTCCCTGACAACGCCTTTAGACAACATGTGACTCATACAATTCCTCTACGTCTATCAAGCACCAAGTGATAATTTATTAAGGAAAGTACATCAGGGTTACTCTTGTTACCTAAAAACACAGGCCACCAGATTTTGGCCCTGAAGATCCTTGATACTTTTGCTTCACTTTTGGAAAACACATGGAAAAACTCTAATAAAACTTCAGGAATTCAGCCAGAAATACCACTGAGAAAGAAACTCTCACCACAAGACTCGATTTCCTATTTGCTTACAATGATGCTCGATGACCTAGGCTGTAGGATGTGAACTAGGCTGTCTTGATGGCTCCCAGACCCACCCAGCTCAGAGCCGCAGGCGCAGCTTGTCTGAGTGGACTCATTACCTTTACAGTGTGCCTTCAACTGATCCTTCCAGCCACACTCGATCAGTTTAGCTCTCAGCAACTCTTTGAGGCTGTTTAAAAAGGAAATGTTTCCAAATTAATCCACGTGAGGCACTTTAGACAGCAATGTCTGAAGCAATGTACTAGTACAAACTGTTCGAGTAAAAGCCCTGCTTTCTGTCCCCAGACCTTAACTGGGGTCTAATCCTGAGTCATTACTTAGTTTTCTGCTGTTTCACAAGCCGGTTCTCGGCCTCACTTATCTTCAGGGCTAAATCCAGCCGTGACTACAGTCTGACCTGCCCTATGTCGCTCCCCATTTCCAGCCTTCAGTAGTTGGCATGGCTATTGCATGTTAATTAACAGGATTTTCTTTTTTCTTAATGCTGAAAATGCTGCACCATATATTTTGCTATCCCTTTGTCACAGCCAGTTTTGTCAATTCAGAGGCCTTAACTGAAATGATTTATTTAAATGTGTCATGTCTTAAACAGCTCTTCTTGCCCTGCAAACCTCCACTCTTTCAATATCCCCAGAGATAACTATGCGATATGTCTATCTTGATGCCTAAATAGATCTTTCAGTTTCAAGAGCCAAGCCCAACTTCACTTTCCCTCCCGCTTTCTCTCTTTCTTCTCAAAATGACAATCTCATTCTTCTGGTTCCTTGGGCTACAACTTGGGAGTCTCCTTCATCTTGCTACACATAAAATGTATGAGTGAATCCTGCAGTTTCAGCTTTTAAATGCTTCCCTAGAATCCAAATGTTTCTGGGCCAAGAGTACCCTAGTTCCAGCCACCATCTTTTCTGGTCTGGCCTTACACCCAACTTCCTTCCCCACCTCCCGGTCTCTTCTCTTGATGACAACATTCTCGTCACAACCTTCCAGTGCCTTCCCGATTTACCCACGACCAAACGAGCTCCGCCTTCTCTTCAGTTATACTTCAGCCCCTCTCTCCACCCACTTTGTTCCTCAGCTACCATGTCACAGGCAGACAAGCTTATTTCAGGACGGTGCCTCTCGGAGCTCCCCCATTCCTTCATGCTCACCTGATCTCTCACTTTTTCTGTCTAAAGCATCACCCTCCCTTCATAGCCCTTGCTTTAGTCTTTCCTTGGTCCTCATCACTGTGCGCCGTATCACACTGTCAGGATGTGTTTCCTGCTATTGAAATAAGTACACGGACAGCCCCTCCTTTATAAAAAAGAAACCTCTAATTCTCTAAATACATACTATCACCCCAGCACAGCATCCGATACCTCTTTCTTCATATGTCTATTTTTCCTTTTCATTTTGAAAAGGTTCACAGGTATGTATGTCCTTCTCTCCACATTTTTGCTTCTTTTTTTACCTCCATCTCCACTATCTTTCTAATTTTTCTACCATCTGTCTTGGCCCCTTCAAGTCTACATTCACACAGTCAAAATAGTCTCCCTACAATGAAAATATAGCCTACTCATTCCCTTTCCAAAAATTCTTACTGATTCCCATTATCTAAGGATAAAGACAGCAACAATGCTTGTGCAAACTCATTTTTCTGCTTCGTGACAGAAAAACAAGCAAACAACATTCCTGTGTCACTCTCCCTACACAAATCTGGACAAGGTTCCTGTAATTTGAAATATGACCTGAGCAAGGCTGATCAGAACTTGCCTATTACCTAAGCAAGCTGGTAATCAAGTGAGGCTCTTTGCTGGGAAAGGAACTCTGAGCTGGTGGAATGTAAATTTTGAACTGCTAATCTCTGCCACCTGTGGGAAGGGCCTGTTTGAGAATAAAGACAACAAAGAGGAAAGGAGCTGAGAGAGACAAAGGTACATCTCGAGACAATTTCTAAGTGCCTGAACTCAAGGTTGTCAAACGCATCTTCCAATCTTCAGTATGTCAATGAGATGGGCTTAAATACTCTATGGTTAGAACAGCTTTGACATTCAGAATGTTTTCGATGGACAGAATTCTTACACAGAATTCTGCACTCCCGTTTACTGCTCCAGCCACATGCTCTCACACCTTCCCTGTGGCCTGCGGTCCCTCAGCGCTCTTCAGGTACCAAAGCTCTGACTGCTTTTCCTGTTCCACATGGCTAGAGCATCCTAACCCTTTCTAACTAGAGAACTCCTGACTCGTCTTCTACCCTGGGTGAAACCCTGTTGTTACTGAAACTTCCCCAGCCACCCCCAGGGAAAATGGAAGAGGTTGTCCTCTGTTCCTCTATCTCATCTACACACTGCTTTTGTAAATTCCAGTAGCCTGCTCTGGGAGCCTTTCTACGGTTCTCAGTCCTTCCTTTCTTTAAACAGTTGTTCCTTCAATTAGGGTTTAAGCATAGCATTATATAATGGGTAGACAAAGGTATTTCTGTCCAGGAACCTGGATTACACTCAAGGCCACAAACTAATGGAAAGCATAGTGGATGCAAGAGCTGGAATTTGAAGATACGTAACTGAATAATGAAATAAGAGGAAGAAGAAATCTCTTCACAAAATAGTAACAGCACATACTGCTCAGGAGTCAAGAGCACTAGGAAACTTAAACTAGTTAGCTCTCTATCAAACCCTGGGTGATACTCTCTGGCTGCAGTTCTTTGTGTCCCTGCTGTCTCCCTGTGTCCCTGTGTCCCATTTGGTTAAACATGCTTTGGTGGTGTCATTTCCTGCTTATCTTTGTCTACGTCTCCAAATCTGGCAATGCTGAGTCAAACTATTACAGATGCTAAGAACAGAAACTCTGGGACTCTTCCCTTTTCTGTAGTTCTTTCCAGACAGGTTTTTGTCCCCGGCACCAGAGATTCCTCCAATGTAACATTAACTGTTAAGCGTGGTAAAACCTAATTAGTGAATACAATGTGTTACTCACCGTTCTCTTTCTCCAGTTTCTATTAACTTTTGGTTAATCGCTGCTCTCATCTGTGCATCTTTGTTCATCTTGCTAACCTGGACATCGACATGCATTGTGAGATACATAATATTTAGAAAACCGTTTCCTTCTGAGTCCTCGCTAGACAACCATCCTAACAACACATCGAACATTCTAGCAAGGAGAGGATGAGAATTTCAAGCATGTTACACGGCCTCGTTATTTTTACTATTATTTACTGTATCCCAGTTCCTATTTGCTGTGGCATCTCCTGCCCTTCTACCCTCTTTATTAATGAGTTCAGGGGAAAAACTAGTAGGATAACATCATCAGGCAATACCGAGCGGTATCTAACTCCCAGACTTGCTCTACGAACGCAATTCTATTTTACAGATGAGCACACTGAGGCACAGAGACAGAAAATGGTGACGGGAGAATCTGAACCCAGCTCCTCGGACGCCAGGAGCCCCAAGCGCCTTATTGAACTGTCCATTAGCAAACGACTACTGTTCCTTTCCGAGTCGTAACTTGCAGCCAAACGTTGGGAAAGCCACACAGTGCGCATACCACTGAAAGATACTTCTAAAGAAGATGAAATCAGACTCTCTGTGCTTTAACTCTTGACTGAGATTTAGTGAGAACTACAAGCGCCTCGCTAGCTGTGGCTTTCTGCGCCCACAAATACACTTATTGAGAAAAATCCTCCATTTTCATTAAAAAACTGAACAGATAACCAATGCCAAAATCAAGTGTAGCAAAAAACAAAACAAAAGAAAGAGCAAGATGTAAGTTTTGAGGGCGTCTTTGCCATCTAAAGGAAGGAGGTTTTGGAAAAAAAAAAAAATGATTTCTAAGTTAAGT